CACCGCCCCCCCCGAGCCCGCTAGGGTGTGGAACCCCGCTCCACTAGAGGAAAGACAACGTCCTAAACACAGCTGCCACATGTTCCCATAGAATTATTGCAGGAAAATGCTCTTTTAATCAAACATGTCTCCTACGACGTTGCCCAACCTGGTGCCTGGCTGGGAATTATAGGAGCTGAAATCCCACCTAGTTCAGGGTGTCAAATGTGGAACGCTGCCTTTCCAATATTTTTCTGGCTTCTGCTCAGATGTTTGCCTGGAAAGGCATAAAGCCGATGTTTTCCACGGGGCTTTGAGATAGAATTAATTAGTCCCTGTTATCGAGCGAGGTGGCGATGATTGTATGCTTGTCTTTATTATTGTTGGAATTTTATGTTATCTGCCTATGGGTTTTGTTTTATATTACAACTTGCAGGAGTCGGTCCTTGATTGCAGCAGTGTGCAGTTATAAATAGAATGCAGTGTCTTACCAGATCTGATGAATCCTTAAATGTGAAACTCTTTGAATGTTGTAAAAGCTCAAATATTTCCCTATTTTATTTTATTTTATTTTATTTTATTTTATTTATTAAAGCAATTTATAGGGCCGCCCATTCACTCACGGTGACTCCGAGTGGGTTACAGAAATAACACCCTGAATGCAAACCCATGACACCCCCACCCCCTGGCAACAGCAGTACATTCAAATAAACCACTTGATGGGCTCCGTATCAACCTGGGGTCCCCAGGCCCGCTGGCAAAACCAGGTTTTCAGGGCCTTTTGAAAGAGTATCAAAGTGGGGCCCGTCTTATCTCTGTGGGGATGATGTTCCACAGGGAGGGAACCATCGCGGAGAAGGCCCTTCTTCTCGGTCCCCCTAGATGGACCTCCTTAATGGAGGGGACCTGTAACATACCCTTCCTCCCCGATCTGGTGGGTCGGACAGATGAAATTGGGAAAAAGAGGCCCTTCAGATAACCTGGCCCCATGCCACGTAGGGCTTTAAAGGTGATAACCAGCACCTTGAATTGGACCCGGAAGCAAACTGGCACCCAATGCATCTCCCGCGAGAGAGGTGACCCATGTACAAATCTAAACTTGCACACAAGTATATGGGCTGCCATATTCTGAAGCAACTGAAGTTTCTGGATACTTTTCAAGGGAGAGCCCCAGGTAGAGCGCATTACAGTAGTCAAGACAGGAGGTGACTAGGGTGTGGGTGACTGTGAGCAGGGCCTGTTGGTCCAGGGAAGGGCATAACTGGTGCACAACCTGCAGTTGCACAAAGGCCCTCCTGGCCACCACTGCCACCTGCTCCTTGAGCAGGAGTCGCGAGTCCAGGAGAACCCCCAGATTACCCACCGGGTCCATCTGGGGCAGTGCTACCCCATCCAAGACCAAAGATGGCAATTTTCCATGGAGCAAAGAACCCCAAACCCAGAGCCATTCTGTTTTGCCAGGGTTCAGTTTCAACCCGTTGCTCCCCATCCAGACCTTAACAGCCTCCAGGCCCTGCGAGAGGGAGGTCACGGCATCGCTTAACTCACCGTGGGCTGAGATATACAGCTGAGTCTCATCACCACCCTGGTGATATCTCATCCTATGGTGACGGACGATCTCACCCTTATCTACAAACCAAGCATTGAGCATGGCTGTTTAAAACTGATGAACCAAATCTGTGCTTGTGTGGATGTCTGAGGGAAGGGGGTCAAGTGACATCATGCAAACGATACGAATTACAGGATTTGCTTCACTGCTTCACAGTGATGTCGTCCTGCCCATGACATCATCATGGCTTGCATCAGACGCCTGAGGTTGACCGACTTTGCATATCGCAATAAAATGTGGTTGGTTGGACTAGAGTTGATTGAGTTCATACCCTCCCACTTGACCAAATCAAGACTGGTTTCACACAACACACCAAGGCAAACCTAAATAAAGCATAGAATGACTTTGTGCAAGGGGGTGGTTGGGGGAACCCAAAGCTATCTTTGGACAAAGGCCCCAAATTCAGATCAAGCACTTGTCCAAATGGTAAAATTTTGATGTTGAGCCCCACACAACAATTCTGCAGCTGTGGACTAGAACTCAGTGCAGCGTCGTAATGCAGGTGGACAACTGAGGTGGCTCAGTTACGGTCTCAGACTGGGACAAAGAAAAACATGGTCCCTTCCTGTGTCCTCCTGCCTTCCACATCTTTCTCACCTCGTTGCTTTCCCCATCAGATTTCTGAGGCCCTGGATGGCGTGAGCGTGACGTGCCAGCAGCCGCTACGGGTGCAGTTAGAGAACAAGAAGATGCAGTATGAGTGGGTCTTCACTGTCCATTCCCAGGTGAGCTGGAAAGGCCAAATCGACTTTAGGGAGGTAAAGAAGGGGTCGATTTCTCCTTTGAGGAGGTACCTGGAACTCTGCCCAGCTGCATCACCCACAAAAGAGTTTGTGCCAATGTTTTTGCTGGGTGCATGTCGCATGGCGAGTGATGTCCTTATCCACGATTGGCTGAAGGCACGGCAGTTGGGTGGATTTGCATGGAGCGGTTAGTCCCAACAAGCAAATTGTGTTGTGGCTTCATGCTCTCTGGATCCCAGCCTTTCTCTGAGCACATCCTCTGCAGGGAGGCTGCTATAAACTGGTCCCTTCAGCCCAATCCTCCTTGCTGGGGCTCTCAAACATCTGGAAAGCTGCCTTTCCTTGAAGAGTTTGGGGATGAGTTGTTGGAATTTGGAGTTTAATCGCCCGCTACAGAGTCAGAAATGTCAGAATTTAAGTCAAATCAACGTTTTCTTTATTAAAATGCAACTGCTCAGCTGGCCCTAGGAGGGATGGGAAGGTCTAAGGTTCCCAGTTGACAAGAGGACTTCAAAAAGTCCTTTGTCCTCTCCCAAAAGAACATCCCTTTTGACGTTTCAAATGCCTGGAGGAAGGAAGTTCTCTGGCTCCTGATCTTCATGTGTCAGTTGGAGGTGATAAGATAGCTGCTGGGTGGAAAGCCATCCAGATGAAAGCCCCCTTGGTAATCACCCATGCAGCATCTCCCATTTTGTGCGACCACCTCTAATTGCTAGTAGCCCTTCCTTCCTTCCTTCCTTCCTTCCTTCCTTCCTTCCTTCCTTCCTTCCTTCCT